TATGTTAAATATACATATAAAATATATAATTAATATTAAAAAGTAAACAAAAATCCCGGGCGTAGCCCGGGCCAACCCTAGTACAATATATAAGATTGATTATTTTGATTTATTTACCCTAATTTCGAATAAACAAGAGTGATAGTTAAATTTTTATGCATACGCCAATTTATTACATAATAGTAACTGATTTCTTAGTTATTTAATATATATATTTATTATTTTATTATTTTATAATATGCAGAAAATATAAAATAAATCATAAATATAAAATACTTATTGGGCATAAAGTACAGATTTCAACCTAAGTATATATCTCTTTAATTATTTTAAATTTTAAGTATTTTCTAAATTCCAGGTCAAAACAAACAAATGAAATGAGAATAAACTTCAAAATAAATATTTATATCGAGTAATAACCAACATAAAAAAAACAGAACAAGAGAAAAAAATTGAAGATAAATAGGATTGACACGTAAACTTCTCATAACCATAATGGTTATGTTAAATCATGAGGATTTAACTTAATTTTGTATAAAATTATTTTGTATTAAACAATATAATTTGTAAGAAATATAATTTTCTAATATTATTAGAAAAATAAATAATATTATATTCAATTAGTTTTAAAATTTATATATTTTAAATGCAAATATTTTACCAACTGCTTCTTAAGAAAGTATTAGGGAACTTGCTAATACTCTACCAATCAAGCACAGTGATACTATTTTCCATCACTCGAACACTGAAAATTCAATCATATGTAAATTTAAAATTTGTCAATACTAAAATTTTGTATTTTAATTATGTACATTCACCATACGCAAGACGCATGTTTTATCCTAGTAAATAATTATTTAATAGAAATAAATATTAAAAATATATTTATACAAAGAAATTATTTACTTGCATAAGAAAAACCTGTGTGAATGCGTGAAATAAATTCTAGTAACCATTAAAAGTCTAGTTGAATAAATCCACACTTTTAACATATAGAGAACATCACTACTTCATGTGGCAATGAGAAGTGCACATTACAACGCTAGGCCCCATAAAAGTACCAAAGTATATAGTCTTTAAAGAAAAATGGGACCTGTATACAAAAACTTTTTGAGCCCTTGGTTTGGTAGCGACGGGGACGACCCGGCGCGAGGTGGAAAGGCATGCATGGGAACGGACCATGTGCGTGTCACGTGGTATAATTATAGTGTCTTTACTATTTGATTAAGACACGTGGACCACTCTTACTGGTCAATAGAACCCATCAACATCTGCTTAATTAAGGAATAAGGACGCATTAGCTCTTTTGAGAAAATTACAGCGGTGATCTTTTTTTGATGGGTCCAGAATCCAGGTCATAATCTACCATACGTATTGATAAATGGTGAAATATTACAGAACGAAACATCAGAACATGTACTAGTAAGTATTATTATATCGCAAACGAAAAAGACATTGATGTTGTAGGTACGCCAAACTCTTGATACGATCTGTAATCTAGTTTTGTATTAGTAATCGTGATATTATACCCTTCTAGTTAGTATTTAATTGAACGGTGGTTTAGTTATAATGTGAAGAACAAAATTAAAGGATTGGTGATGTGACTCGTGCTCTCGTTTCTTCGGTTACGCCATGTGAGTAGGTGTGTGTTAGAAAATATGTCGTTAACAAAATATGCCTCCTCAAATACTATCTTAAACAATTTGCAGCGTCCCATGATTGAGTAGTATTAAGTCAAAGTTCAAACTCTATATATTCGTCTAGAAAATAAATGTAAGGATAAAATATTCTATGGTTGGGTTGGATATAATTTGTGGTCTCTTGTGAGGTTTGAATAATACAAATTTGAGTTCTGAAAAATGAAATAATCAAGTATCCTTATCATTGATACTCTTTTGAATATGAGAAAGATCATCTAAATCACAGATTTAAGTAGAAGTAAAACTTTTAAGATGATCATCGTATACAATATCATTATATGCAAATATATTTTTCAGAATCTATATTATAATAGTTGAGTTTCAAGACTCCTCAACGCGCCACATCAGCATTAGGTGGGTCCCACTTTAAAAATATGAAAATGTCAAACATATGATTCGAACCCGGGTTATTAAGAAACAAACACTAACATTTATACCACTAAACTACAGGATAACTTGTACATTGATGGCCGAAACTAATATATATTTAGCCGGAAGCCTTTGCATCTATAACCTCCTTTAAAGTTCGGGCCTGGAAGTGTATTATAAGTTTCATTTTTATTTGGGCTTCATCATATTATATGAAGAAAATCCTCAAGTTTACAACAGTTATAGTTTTCCCATATTGTAAACCGTTAATGTTTAAAATGAGTTAAGATTCCTTTCATCATCGTATCATACAGGTCTGAGTTATAGAGCTGCGTCGTGTGTCTGTTCGTAATCTATTTTTTTCACCGGTGAACTTTTCATCTCCCCATCTTACATCGCTTGATCATAAATGTTCCTAATTTGTAGCCCCTCTGTAAATCATATATATATGATTCTCATATTTGATGAACCCTATGTGCATCTCCACAAAACTTATTTATTCCTCTTAACTTTAAAAATCTTCTAGAAAATGTCTCTCTCTCCTTCTCCAGTTCCTAAAACTAGCGTCACCGGCATCCATCATGCAGCCTTCAAGTCTCTCTGTCATGTTAAAGTAAACATAAGCCATATACCAACCAAATTAACATATAGAACCTCAAATCATTCAGTATGGGTTTTAGTAAACGAAACTAATAATAATAGAAATAAAGTCATACAACAAATTCAAACCTTCTTATTGCAGGTTCCGAGAACACCGAATCAACAGAGGTTCACTGAGTAAGGAATGCGATGGAGACAACCTTAACTAAGGTGAGCTAATCTCTCTTCTATGTTGCTATAGAAAAACCATAATTTCACAAAATGACACACTAAAAACACAATCAGACCAAGATTCACAAGAGCTTGTCATACTACTGAAGATGACGAGGAGAAACAAAAAGGGCGAGTAAACAATCCAGTTTCAGATCTAAAATGAGACTCAAGACTCATCAAATTTCAAGTCCAATCATTTAAAATCCAGCTACTATATTTTCTTTGTGTTCGAATATAATCCTATACGACTAAACTTTTTAATCTACCATTCCCATTTTTAAACTACCACAAAATATTTTTGACAAATATAAAAAAAATAACTGTCTTAGTCATACATGTATATAATTATACGAAGCCTTAGCATTTATTAAACTACAGTTATATATTTTCAAAACATATCATGGCACATTGAAACAACAAACTATATTTCTTTTCGAATAACAAAATTATTTTTTCTTCGTTCCCATATTATAGTTGTATAGTAACAAATACATATATTTGGTTACATATGATTATTAACTCACTAATAACATTAAGATCCAATTAAATCGTAAAAAAATGTAGAAATACGAACACATATAAATTCGTCAAACACTCTTATCTGTAAATAAAACAGGTCTTTACTCACTAATAATATTGATATCTAAACATTCCACACAACCCCTTAACAAACATGTTTCATCTTTTTCTCTTCAATCCATTAAACTATATTTCTTTGTATAATTTAATAAAATCTTAATTTTTTTTAAATGCTAATTCACTATTTAACAATAATATACTACCAACCTACAAATTAGACAATAAAAACATAATAAATCACCCATCCTAGACATAAAAGCACTAATAACACAAATGAGAAAGTCATTACTAAAATAATATATGAATATTTCAAAGCATATGAATTTTCATTCATTCATATACCAACTAAATTCAATCGGGTTTTCGGTTAAACCCCAAACAAAAAAATGTCCAAAAAAATGACAAAATCCCATCTATAAAACATCATAACGTATCATCACTGTCTCCGGCTCCGCGCTTGCGCGGAGCTATGAACCTAGTATCATTAAATGGTCAAGAGAAAGGTTCAGTCTGATCCCTAATTCTCCTGGCTCAAGACCAGTTTTGCCAATAATTTTTGGCATGCCAAAACATCAATTTCATCAGAATTTAAATCAGAAACGCAACAAAACCAACCTCCCGTTTAGCCACTAGCTTACCTCTGATAATTATTATTGTAGATTTATTAACCTCTTGAGACTATTTTGTATATCACTGACGGGCCGGGAAACAGTCGTATCCAAGAATTGAAAGAAGAAAAAAACATCCATGTCATTGCAAGTGAATAAGTTTGTGTTTCTAATTCAACGATCCAACAGTACTTCGACCTAACACTTAAGACATTGGTTCTTGTATTTTTTCGCTGTTCTCTAACAACGAAACACTTTTATAATGTATTTCGAATCAAAATTTTAGTTTACATTTACAAAAATAAAGAAAGGACTTACAAAGTTGGCTTAGCTTCTGTTATTGCTTAGCTTTAACTTTGCTTCTACAGGGACTTGGTCAAACCTATAATTTATGCCTCTAGATCTTTTTATCTTTTTTTTGGGCATCTTGGTACTATCTCGCTAGTTCTAGCAAATTGGATACAAATCTTGTATGCCTTGCTCATTTTCACAATGAAATTCACATACTTATCAAAAAATAAAAAAGATATTCGTTGTGATAGCTATTTGTCAAGAAAACTTGAAAAACAAAATATTCTCGACAAGTTTTTCGCAACTTTAAGAAAAGTTTGAAAACTTTTATCCCCTTTTTATGTATGATAGCTCGTAATCAAATGTTAACGAAAGCAGTCATAACACGACTACTCTATAAAAACTGTCCACGTCCCCGCCAGAAACTCACCCACTTGCAAATCACCACGTGTCCCCACTCAAACTACACAACCATTTAATTAATAAATTAAACTACACTTAATCGTGTGCTGATGATGAGTGATGACACTGTCACTGCCTCTCAACGTCTATATATGAGGGCCTCCCTTCTTCTAAAACTAGTACCTTCTTCTCTAACTGGTAACTTTTTTCTTCCCACATCAAGTAACCAACCTAAAAAATGATTACGTGGCATGACTTGTACACCGTTCTCACGGCGGTTGTTCCACTTTACGTCGCCATGATTCTAGCCTACGGTTCCGTCCGTTGGTGGAAAATATTCTCACCAGACCAGTGCTCCGGCATCAACCGCTTCGTCGCCATATTCGCCGTCCCTCTCCTCTCTTTCCACTTCATCTCCACCAACAACCCCTACGCCATGAACCTCCGCTTCATCGCAGCCGACACGCTTCAGAAGATCATCATGCTCTTCTTGCTAGGCCTATGGGCGAGCCTGACCAAGAAAGGAAGCTTGGAGTGGATGATCACAATCTTCTCTCTCAGCACACTCCCCAACACTCTCGTCATGGGGATCCCTCTCTTGATCGCTATGTACGGAGTCGAAGCTGGCTCCCTCATGGTCCAAGTCGTTGTGCTTCAGTGTATCATTTGGTACACTCTCCTTCTCTTCCTTTTCGAGTACCGAGGCGCGAAGCTTCTGATCATGGAGCAGTTCCCGGAGACAGGAGCCTCTATTGTCTCCTTTAAGGTTGAGTCCGACGTGGTTTCTCTAGACGGACATGATTTTCTTGAGACGGATGCTGAGATTGGTAACGATGGGAAGCTTCACGTCACGGTGAGGAAGTCGAACGCGTCGAGGCGGTCATTGATGATGACGCCTCGGCCTTCGAACCTCACCGGGGCTGAGATTTATAGTATGAGTTCGACTCCTAGAGGTTCGAATTTTAACCACTCTGATTTTTACTCGGTGATGGGGTTTCCCGGGGGGAGGCTGTCTAATTTTGGACCGGCGGATATGTACTCTGTTCAGTCTTCTCATGGTCCGACTCCACGTGCGTCCAACTTCGAAGAGAGCAACGCTGTGAAGTACGGGTTTTACCCTAACAGTTCTGTTCCTGGAGCAGCAGCAGCCGGGTCGTACCCGGCTCCGAACCCGGAGTTTTCTTCCGGTACGGCGGGTTCGGTTAAACCGAACAAGACTCCTACGGAAAACCAACAGCTGGAGAAGAAAGGGAGTCATGACGCTAAGGAGCTTCACATGTTTGTCTGGAGCTCGAGCGCTTCGCCAGAACACGTGGCAGCTGAGCAGTCTGACCAAGGGGCTAAAGAGATCAGGATGGTTGTCGCTGATCCACCTAGAAAGAGTGATGTTAGAGGTTTGGATTATTATAAAACTGAGTTCAAAGTGTTTAATTATAATTTATGTGTGTTTAATAATGTGTTCTGTTTTTTTCCAGGTGGTGATGATATCAACGTTGGAGAGGTTGAAAGAGAGATAGAAAAAGCAACTGTAGGGTTAAACAAGGTGGAGTCCAGTTCTAAGGCTGAGCTAGAGGCGGCCGGTGGTGGGAATGGAACACATATGCCGCCGGCAAGTGTGGTGACACGTCTTATTCTGATAATGGTGTGGAGAAAACTCATCAGGAACCCAAACACTTACTCTAGTCTTATTGGTCTCATCTGGGCTCTTGTTGCTTACCGGTCAGTCCAATCATCTTTTTGTCAAACTGATTATGGATAAGGAAATAATATTTGTATATTACTGATATGGAATAATTGTAACATGGACTAATTGGGGTATGGGTTTTGATGGAAGCAGGTGGCATGTGGCTATGCCCAAAATACTACAACAGTCTATCTCCATACTCTCAGATGCTGGTCTTGGAATGGCTATGTTCAGCTTGGGTAATAAAAATACAAATAAAACTTGATTCATCTTTTCTTAAAAGGCGAGTGATCTTGCAGATCAAGATTTAATGATGAAATCTTAAGATTTATAAACGTAGCATTGGGTCCAATGGCTTCTTATCTTATCTGTAAAGTGCATTAAATGCAAATGGTGGGTCTGGGAGTTTTATGTTAGTCGTAATTGTCCAGCTTGTAATTGGTAAAAGTCACATATATGGACTGGACTGTACAACGCACTTACCTAAAGAGAATCCGGACCCTCTGATCTTTGAGATCCGAACATGTTGGTGGGTCCGGTCCCCACACCGAGCCAGTTGCTGTGTGTGTACTTATTTGTGGGCTCACCAAGTAGCTGACTTAGCTTTTGCTGTCAGTCTATTAAATCCTTTGATTGATTTATTTTTGGGTCTAATGATTTAGGTTTGTTCATGGCACTTCAACCCAAAATCATTGCTTGTGGGAACTCCGTGGCCACGTTCGCCATGGCCGTTAGGTTTCTTACCGGACCTGCCATCATGGCTGTTGCTTCGCTCGCCATTGGGCTACACGGCAACCTCCTCCGTATAGCCATCGTTCAGGTATAAAAAAGTACTTTGTTGTTCAGTTTGTATGATCCATGAAATGATTTAGGTTTATAACATAATTCATCATGGTGATGATGTTAGGCTGCGTTGCCTCAAGGAATAGTTCCGTTTGTGTTTGCAAAAGAGTACAATGTGCATCCCACGATTCTCAGTACTGCGTAAGTTTCAAACCTATTAATCACATTAAATTTTTATGTATAGAGGATCCAGTAACATATGTTGTACATATGGATGCAGGGTTATATTTGGAATGTTAATAGCCTTACCAATAACTTTGGTGTACTATATTCTTCTTGGCCTTTGAATTGGTTCCTACGCCTTTAAGATCAACTGGCTTTTGAGAACGCCTCGGAGATTGGTTATTTTATTCATCGGAAACCAGGAGATAAACAAAGGCTCTGATTTCGTGGGAAGTAGTGAAGAAGAAGATATGCTTTTGGTTTTGGTTTTGTTTCCAATATTTGTGGAACACAACAAAAGTACTTAGGATTTAGTGAACAAGATTGCAGGGATTAAGGATCTTGTCTTCATTACACGCCAAAAAAACTCTCTCTTTCATCGATCTTAATTGTTTGTTTTCTGTTTTTGTTACTCTATTTGTAGATTTTCGCTAAGTAAATGTAATGCACTATTATACACCCGTGTGTATATGCACCTTTTTATCAACCGAGTGTTTGTACCTTTTGAATTAGGATTCACACGTATATATACATATATATATATATATATAATATCACTGCTATGCGTATAACTAAAACTAAGACTTACGATTAACTGATTTGTTTAGTGATGATATCTATACTTTAGCTTCTGTGAGCTGTAAACGAAGACTAAAATTCTAAACTAGCTTGTAAATTTTGTTTAAATTGGTATAGTCTTGAAATATATGCAATCTTCTCGTACGGTGGTAGTGTTGGAATTATATGTAGCTATGCATTTGAGTTTTTTTTATAACAAACATCGCTTTACAAGACAGATTGTGGTTATTGGTTTTTGAAGAATTGGACTCGACCGGCGATCGTCAAGTTACGCTGACTTGTCGTTTCCGTCTACCACTTTAGTTTTAACAAGACTTGACATATATATGCTCCACCCGTAAGGCCGTAACCTGTTTTATCATATATGATGTTTTTGATGATTGTTCAGAGATTTATTTGATTAGTCAGATAGTGACTCGTGGACGTGGGTATCAACTTCACCAGTGACTAATTTTCGTATCAATTTTACCCGGAAAGCCAGCAAGCCAACATTTATGGGAGCAGCTAACGTTCCACAACACCTAGCGGAAAGCTAATGCTATGATATGTGACATAATCTAAGCTCTTTCCAATACGGTACATGTGTTATTATTGCCTTAACTCATCAAACACAGTTCACCTGGTGTGTTTTAGGACTGGTAGTTGCATCAACCCTATGGAAAACGATCAATGGTCTATGTAATCGCCTTATGATTCATAATCGAATATCCTTAATCCTAACCCAAAAAAATCAACTAGAAATATCTCACTCTAAACGATCAATATAGGGGTTCGAAAATTAACATTTAAATTCGGCGTTGTACTCAAGCATAAACACTCATCAGAGCATACTTACAAACACACATAAACAAATTTATATTTCTTCTTTCTTACAAAAAAACTATATATTCCTTGGTTTCTCCTCAGATTATTATATGATTCTAGAGTTGAAGGTTCCTTAATATGTAATTCTTTTTTTTTCTATTTTGTAATCTTTTATAACAACTACGTACAAATAAAATTTATAAAGATGTACCTATAATCTATAGAAAAAATGCTTTTGGATATCAAGTGTAGTTTTATGAAAAACAGTCAAAAGTAGTGTGAATCTTATTCAAACAATCTATACTATTAAAGCAGATGACTGCTTATGAATCTGCCCCTGATTTTTAAGGAAATTACAAAATATTCCACTTCCTTTTATTTTTAATGAAAATCATCCATTAAAAGTCCAACTGAAAATCGCCAATTAAAAGCCCAATAAATTTAACATTTATTTACAACAAAATGAGCTTCAAATCTATACAAACAATTATATATTTGTAAGTTTACAAATTTATCAACAGAAATAGGTCTGAGTATTTGACACAGACCCGAACAAGAACCGACACAAAAAATACAGATCCAGGTCCGGGTTCGGGTCATTGCTAAAGTATCTGTTGGGTATTTTTTGTTTGGATCCGCAGGTCTCGGTTCGTCCGGGTCCTACTAGAAACCCGATCGGGTATTCTAAGTATCCAAAAATTATGGTATATATTAGGTATATTTAGGTGATTGGGTATATTTTTGATAATTCAGGTATTTTTAAAAGTTTTAGATTTGGATTTTCGAATATAATATTAGGTTTTAGGTAAACTTTTAGATTTCAAAAAAATATAATTCGGGTATCGGGGTAAAATTCTGGGTATATTTTTGATTTTTTGGGTCTGATTTTGGATAATATTTCGGAATTTTTTTGCGGTTCTTCGAGCCTTTTTAGAGTTTTCGGGTTTTGGGATCCAGTTTGGGTCTTTCGGATCCTTTTCGGGTCCTAAATACCCGAACCGACCCGATAATATACCCGAACCAACAAATCTGACAAGACCTGATCCGAAATCGACCCGAAAAATTATAGATACTTGTATGGGTCCAAATTTCTAAGACCTGAAAGACATGGACCCGACAAAACCCGATCTAGACCCGACTCGAGGATCCGGATACTTAGAATTAAACAGTATATTATCCGCGCTTTGAAAGCGCGGATCAAAATCTAGTTATATCTTAAGATTGATCAGTAGTAACATTAATATATTTATACAAGGTATCAAATGTTAATTAAATAACAAGGCATCAGAATATTATTGGAAAAGGAAGCAAATATTCCGAAACTAAATCAAAACTGAATAATATAGAGTGGATATGAAGAAAATTCAATGAATGCATATCTAAGATCGACCAACATGCATTCTTCTTCCGAAAGCGACGAAGCACTTCACTTAACGACAAAAGTAGCTCTTTTCATTTCTTGCGATTAAACCTTTTTGTGGAAGCTTTTTAATTTCCTCGTTTGGCACATACCTCCATCGATATTTTTTCTTATCGTAAAGTTCTGAACTCTTTGAACGTATATTTCAAAGTTTGATGAAAAAGAAAAAGCTGCCCACATGTGTATTCCAACATCAAGATCCGAGCATCAAATTATACCAATGTGGACCACAGTTTTACTCGCATTTCGATTGTATCACTTAACTATAAGCTCTACATTTTCGTTGAACTAATCAACAGTCAAAACGTTGAGTTATCATATGATTCATATTCCCACATATTATCGGTAATATCACGAACAAATTTTTTAATCCGTTCAAAAACAAATAATCTAAACAACTTTGATCACGCATCCACTTTGAAAATAGCAGATTTTTTGTTTCTTATCCTTTGTTTTAAATCTATTTATTTTCTACCCTCTCCTCTACTATTTATTTGTATGAATATCTTACAAATGGAAGGTCCAGTAGAAACTAATTAGAGTCTCATCGATGAATGTATGCAAACCACAATATGGCATTGACTGTAATCCAAGTGGTCGTTTGGTTTTAATATAATGTACTTTTGCTTATTTTGGACATACATTTTTGTTTATGATATGCTCAAGTGGCCTTCAATCTAATTGAGTATTTAAATTCATGTGAAGTTTTGTTCTTGCCCTTTTCTCTATCTTTTAGACATGATTTCTCAATTATTTTATCATAATGTTATTAACTTATTATACAAGATCCATGGGGCCAATGGCGGAGAAAGATTTTTTTTCAACTAGAATCAGAAAAAAAAATTCAAAAACATAATGTATAAATAACCAAAAGAATACAAATGTATCACATAAAAAAACAAACAATTGTATTTTACGCTCACTCATAACTTGAAACCATTTTATAACAGTTTCATTGGCTACACCTTCAAATATTTATTTTTAAGAAGAAGCATAAGGTATTCGATCAGTTTAAAAGATTGAAGGAACCTATTAAAAAAAATTCTTTGATAGAGGGGGAATATTTACCTCAGATAGGTTTAATCTACTTTGTGAAGAAAGTGGAGTAGGAGCTGTGAAAGCCGAGATGGATTCTATCACAAGAAACAAGACGTGTGAACTTATGGATAGAACGGCTAGAGTTAATCCTATCAGGGTAAAGTGAATCTACAAGATTCAAGGAGCGGATGGAATCAAGAAAAAGAAGGAGAGTTATGCTCAAGAAACCCTGTGTGACACAAAGATGGAGACGTGTAACGCAACTCATATACCAGTGAAGGATGATTACTTGAGGATTAATTTCAAGCAAATGAGGAACTTAATTGGAGTTCAAGAAACCGATCTCCCTGATTCAAGTTGGAATTAAGGGGGTGATTGTTGGATTATTTCAAACTTGTGAAAACTTAACATATTATTAGATGTTAAATATGTTAATAAATAAATACAAAAAGGAAATCAAAAATAGGAAAATGAAGTCTTATATTAGATTAAGCTTATGTTTTCCATATCCCACATGTTAAAGAGAATTATCTTGCATATAAATAGAGGACTAATGGAGAGGTGTTCCATAAGATCTAAGAGAGTAGATCATAAAAGATCTAAGAGAGTAGATCTAATGATCCAAGAGAAGCATTGAGAGGCTTTAGTTTTGAGAAGCTTTAAAATCTAATAAGAAAAATTGTTCTTATAATACTTTGTTTCTACAGATTTGAATACCAATTAAAGTTGCAAGAACACAAAATATTATAAGAACTTCTTGTTAGACTTAGAAACTCTTTAAAAATAAATAAATGTGTTTCTCTTAGATCATAAAAGATATAAGCGAGTAGATCTAATGATCTAAGAGAAGCATATAGACATGAAGTATCTTATTATATAAAGAAGAGTTTTCTTCTCTCTTATGATGCCATGTCACTAAATAGGATGACAAAAAAATGACACATGGCATGCAAATTTATTATTACAAAAATTAATGTTTAATATTAACTAAGGTTTACTTTATTTGAATGCATTTATCAATTATTTTTAAGAAGCATGAACCTTTTTATTTTGAGATAAAAATATATTAAAAATCATAGTATCTATGAATTAAAAAAATATAAGGCTGAAAATAATCTATAATTTATATTCTTAGATATTTTATTTTATTAAACATTGATAAATGTTAGAAATTACTGATATAATAAAATAACAAAATAGAAATAGTGAAATTAAATGTTATTAATAAAATAAAAAATATAAATAGCAGAACTTAATGTTATTCTTATTTTTAATAAATTAAGAAAATCAGATATTCCCTCTTATGATGCCATGTCACTAAATAGGATGACAAAAAAATGACACATGGCATACAAATTTATTATTACAAAAATTAATGTTTAATATTAACTAAGGTTTACTTTATTTGAATGCATTTATCAATTATTTTTAAGAAGCATGAACCTTTTTATTTTGAGATAAAAATATATTAAAAATCATAGTATCTATGAATTAAAAAAAAATATAAGGCTGAAAATAATCTATAATTTATATTCTTAGATATTTTATTTTATTAAACATTGATAAATGTTAGAAATTACTGATATAATAAAATAACAAAATAGAAATAGTGAAATTAAATTTTATTAATAAAATAAAAAATATAAATAGCAAAACTTAATGTTATTCTTATTTTTAAT